TTATGTTACAGTCATAAACATTGTGGCGGATATTTTAAGCGAAAAGTGTTGGTCTCAACGAAAAAATCGAAACGTCAAGGTTGTGAAAGTGTCTAAATTAGCTGTCTATATTTTATATTTGTTATGCATTTTATTTGTCACGTCTTATTTTTAGATGTGATTCAACTTTGTTGCATCCAAAATGGTTATAATTTGACTTTATTTTATCGAAACGGGAAAAAATATTTTTAATTTTTGTTATTTTATATTCATTTTATACAAATATATTGCGAATTCGAAACCTTTTTATTATCAATTTTTTTAAATTTTATAAAATTTGCAGAGATTGTACTTCAGAGAAATAAGCAACATTTAATAATGTTCAGGACATCCAGGAGTTTTCCATTAATATATACCTATGCCTATATATATTTTTTCTGCAGAAATTTCGGCATTTTTTTTTATTGATAACAACGTAGTGCGAAAAACGCGATTTCGCAGTCAATTTAAATTTAAAATTATTAATCTATGAATAGAAGTAATAAAAACTTCAAAATGACTTAATCTAAAAGTTTTAAGTTAATTTGTTGCTCAAAAACATCGAAATAAGAAAAAATCGTTAATTTTTTATAACTTTTGTCAATATTAACTTACACGTTTGTGATTTCTCTTAAAGGAGGGTTCTAAAGTGTTTAACACACCCCCAAATTGTTGATCCATTAATTAGTTATTCAAATTGGTAATCTCTTATCGAAGGTATTAAAATCACAGAGGTAATATTTTTGTTATAACATAAGGCATACAATAATAATGATACGGTAATTCTATGGGGATCGTACGAAAGGTAAACTTTTTTTTTACATTTAGAGTACCCAAAAAAAAGTTCATTTTTTGATATGATTTTTGCAAAATAATTTTTATAACCAAAAATCTTTTGCAAAGTTAGTGTTATTTTTGATTTTTAAACAATTAGAATAACTTTTAAACTATTACTAAAGTAGACGAAATAGTTTTTTATATTTGTTTAAAACTCGTCGTTTTAAATCAATAACTCGATAGAAATTGAATTGAGGTTTAGAGTTACAGGATTACAAATTATGACGAACTTAAGAAAATATTTCACAGATATACTACTTACAGTTATACCGGATATATCAGAAGTGGGCAGTAATTATGTTATTTTCTATGGAATATTTTTAGATTTTGCTTAAGATTTTAAATAAAAATTATGTAAGGTACAGTACCTAGGTCAAAGTTCCTATTTTTTGAGTTATTATCTTTTTTCAAAAATTTTCGCCCCAAAAACAAACCATATTATTATTTTAGAATCGTGAACAATCGTGATCAACTGTAAACTAACTAATAGAAAAACAATGTTAAGTAATGTTGTTTATCTGATTCCAAGCATCAAAGTCTGAGTCCAATCTTTAACGATCTTTAGCCGATTGAAGCCTTTTTTTATGGATAGTGTGAGTAGTTCCTTTTTTGCCGGCGACAAGTTAAAAATCCCATATCCTTTAGACAGGCCATTCACGTTCCGACTGGATGTTCGTCTCCACTCACGCTCCGACTTTCTATCCAACTAGCGGTCCAACTTCACGTTGGTATACACTAGGTTGTTTTCACGATGGTATACATCGCTTAACCAAAAAATGTATCGAATAAACACTACGCAAAATATAATATATGTATATTATGATATGTATGTTTAAAAATTAGGTTTCGTTTCTCTAGTTATTTGTCTAGGGCTGAACTAATTAATTTTTTCAACTTTTGATTTTTATGACTTTTTAAGATGTAGGAAAAAATTATAGTTTTTAAATATTTGTGTAGATATAAAATCTATATTTTATTTGCTTTAAACTGGAGCTGGGATTTATTTTGTTGTGTGTGTCGTATATTTTTAATAGGAATAATTTTTCGTGCAATTGAAAGTTATTTTCTATTATTTTTTTGCGAACTAGGGATCTTTTGCTACAACTATTATTTAATTTTCAAAATCCACAAGGAAAAATTCCTGTAGCTGGCTGTATACCACGTATAACAAAAAGAGGTTAATCTTTGTAAATGGGTATATTTATTTAAAAAACCCTTAAAAGGGCCACATCAATAAAACAAACGTTTTCGGACTACACAGTCCATCATCAGGTTATTAAAATCGAAAAATGCCTAAAAATAAGTATAAACCATTTAGCTAAAACAAACGAGATTGTAAAATTTTGACTATGGTTGAAAAGCAAAAGATGGTTATACTTACTAGGTCACAATGCCTGAGCCACCAAAATATTAGGGTAAAAACCCTTTAAATTACATTTAGTTATGAAATATTGTTCATTGTGTTATAAAATAACTGTGATGTTCAGTATTAAATTAAATTTGACTATAGGTAACACATGGCTCAATTGGGTTCCAGAGCCGGTGAGAGGGAACCTCTGCACTCGGAGAACAACGTGGAACTGATTGACAAGATACTTTTGAAGGATGAAGATAACAGAATGTCAATGTAACAAAAACTATAATAGTTGTACATAGTATTACTACAGCCAAGATTCAACAAGTTTTGATGATTTTAAAAAAATAACAACAATCTAGGTGTTGGGATTTAAAAACTTTTTATTTATTAATTTAGGGTATAAAAGATGTCAAATCAATGATGGTTTTATAGTCATGATTAATAGAATGACCTGTGCCTTAGGCAACTTATGTTGCTTTTCGTCGTATGGAATGTGGTCTAAAGTGTATTTAATTTTGGGTTAGCTTATATATATGAAATTTATCCTTTTATGTTTAACACATCTAGGACAAGGTAAAAATTAAATAACAAATATTTGAAGCTAATATCAGACCTCATATTTAAATGACTTTATTTAAGAATGCTCCTATGGTGAAAAATTAATAAAATTAAGTTTAGTAAGATGGAAATCTACAGGCTGAAGAAATTGAAGTAGTAACATATGTGATTGAATTTAAAATTGAAGAGGCTGGGTTCCTCAGAGACTAATGAGAATAAAAGTAAAAGAAATGACTGAAGAAAAGGAGGGGGGGCGGTTGAAGGAGAAAAGGAGTTGATCAACAATTAGAGATAATAGGGGTCCTTTATACTTAAAGTATCTAGCACCCTGAACAAAATCTATTTTGGTGGTATTAAATTCAGTTTGTAGAAACCTGAAATTTGTTGTATAAGTGTGCTACTAAGTTGTTGACCGAAAGAAGGTAAACAAAGGTAGATTAGGATTCTTTGTAATATGGTAGATTATGAATTTTAATAAATTGTTAGATAATGTGTGAGTGATTACTAAATTAAAACTATTGGATACATGTTTAATATATGAATTGATCAAGAAATAATGAAAGAGAACAGAATTGACAGGAAAGCGATGTAGAAGTGAAGAGTGGATAAGATAGTGAAATGTTGGTATGATGGATGTGGATGGTTCTGAAGTTAAAATTGGGGTCAGAAATTTGTGAGAGGAAGGTGTGGCGATATTGTAGAAAATGGGTGTTTGAAGAAACACAAGATTGTGTAGGAATAAGGTGTTGACGTTTATATAGGAAAATAAGGCAGAGAAAGTAGGGCAGTATTGTGAAGTGTGGACTATGAAAAAAGTTGACGATGTAAAGGTTGAAAGTCACGGTTGAAAGATACATGGCGATTAACACAATCGGGGCTATTTTGTTTTTCTTTGACTATTTCCAAGTCTTCATATAGATCTAATTTTTTCTAAAATTATATAATTTTAAAAGTATATATATATATATATATATATATATATATATATATATATATATATATATATATATATTTGGAATTTCCAAATCTATTTAAACTTGATGGCTTTTAAAATTTTACTTTGAATACGATTTTTTATAGAGCGCTGCATAATTTTAACATTCAAAAGAAAATCGTCAACCTTGTATAAATATAACATTCAAGGCTTAACAGTTTTCTTGAAATTGTAAGAGACAGCGCCAATGTCTACTAAAAAACTTTTATTTGTTTTATTATTATCAAATATCAAAATTATTTATTATCGTTCGCTCACAGCTTTGTGAGCTTTTTCTTTTAGAAAAATAAATTAACGTTTAATTCGAGACCTCGTAGTAAAATTCAAGGTTTTGATTAGCGGCCAAGATCGAGTCAGATTAATGTGATTTTTTGGTATCATTTACCGAACTGAACTTGAACGTCGTCCAGATGTAACAAGGTTGGAAAAAATTGTGTCCAATTAGGTACATTCATTCATATTTTTATTAGAATTAGATACGTGAGTAAACAAGAACAATTTTGAAAACGACGTATTGGAATAATTGTATTAAACAGTTCAATCAAACAAACCTATCCAAATGATTAACACGTGTTAATATGTAATAAATTCAATTAGTTCTTTTACTTACTTACTAAAAGTATTTGACGTATGATTTGGAATATAGATAATCTGTATAATAATATACAGATTCTATTAAATTTTTGTTTGGGAATAGACCATTATAAAGTAAACTTTGAAGTTTAAACTTTCAGACCAGTAGTCCTATTGAACATATTTTACAACAACTTTTTTAATAAAAAAACTATATTTTTGTGAAACGGGGTGTGGGGGTCGGCGTGCATGAAGGCATTTTCACACACTTTTAAGTGGCATAAAGACATTAAAAAATTATCGTTAATAAAGTATTTTTATTTGTCGTAGCAACGAAAAATCAACAAAATTTAACCTAAAACTCCATAATGTCCAACAAGTTCAAAGAAAGAAATGTAGTTTAGTTTTAGTAGAAATGATGGGACGCGGGACCAGATAGCGATTTTTGATGCGGGAGGAGAGAACTATTTTTCTACGGGTAAATCAATTTATTATTTGACTACCTCGACAATAGAATGAAATTAATACTGTCAAAACAATGACAATGCAATCTCATTAAAATTGCTTTGCAGTTAGATATTATATCTTTCAAAGTCAATATGGCATTGAAAACAGCCTTAGTCGCCAGGCTGTAGATTTTAAAATATGATTAAGCAAGGATATCTAACTATATTTGTTGCGACTTTTTTGTATTACTGTTACTGCACCAACTGTTTCAGAGCTCATTACGCTGCAACTGTCAGTAATAATTCCTTCACATTTCTTCGGATCCAAGTGCAGTCCTCTCAACAAGTTTAATACTATTTTTCCTAAAGCTTCTCCTGTCGGGCATTGTTCTTTCCTTCTTTCTTGATTTTCACTAATTATTTTTATGTTCTCAGAAGCGTCAATGAACTTGACAAAGTCTTTAATGAAGTTGTTATTGTGCATGTATCTCAAATTTAGAGTAAACTATAACCATTTGAACAGGAAATACTGTAATATGGCCCTCTTGCTCGTCAAAAGCAAGAAGGTATTATGGATTATTGCCGTAGCAGAAAAATGTATTATTTAACCTTAATCCCAATATCCATTAAAAGCCCAATAATCAAATGGATTTAGTCATGGATTCAAACGTAAACTTCTAGTATAAAACTGTGGATGAAAATGTTAAAGATTTAATGTTTCAATTTCCATTCCAGAAATCGTTTTCAAAAAATCTTTTGAAAAAATAAAAGGTTCTACATTAAAGAATATGAATATGAGAAAATCGTAATTTTCTTTTGTAGTTCACTCGAATATTCGTTTCTGTTAAACTTTATTTGAAAACGAAAACATATTGTTTACCTTATTATGCAAAATTATTAATTATTTATGTATTTCTTAATATGTAATAAATTTAATTAGTTCTTCTACTTTAAAAATATTTGACCATGATTTGGAATCGCAACTCACATGTATGGTGCACTTGTAACAATTTAAGCTAATTTTCAGCATAAATTTTTGGTCAACGTGTAGTGTGATGTGATCGATGAATATTTAATTGGCCCTTTCATATTTCAGAATCGCCTAATAGGAGAGAAGTACTTGAATTGTTGAAGTACAGAATGAATTTCCAGGACTCCTACAGAACGTCCTACTAAATATCACAGTGCAAATGTATTATCAGCAAGACGGAACTCATGCACATTTTGCTCGTCAGGTTATGCAACATTTAAATATAAAATTTTCAAATATTTATATTGGTCGCAGTGACTCTATGAGTTGGTCTCCAAGGTCTCCAGACCTAACTCCATTAGACTACTTTTCATGGGGTTGGTTTTTCAAATGGGGAAAAGTAAAACTCGACACAAATGAGGAAAAGTAAAACTCGACACTCGGGATGCACTAATTTGACGTATCAGAAATATCGCAGCCATAATTAGGTCAAGCCATTATACACTAAGTAGAAAATGCTTACAGGTAAATGGCAGGATTTTTGAAAATTTATTAAAAGAACATTTAACATTAAATTAATGTTAAGTTACCACTTTGTGTTAATATCGCTATATCTCGAAAACAAACGAGTTAGAGTTAGAGTTTATTTATTTAACTACATAACAAATACAAATACTGTTTGTGCAATTCAAAAAAAAATACATACAAAAAAAAGGAATATAAAACGTAACGTAAATATATAACAAACAAGAACTCCTATTAAACAGAAAAAGATTTATGGCAAAGTTACGGTTATGTGTTACAAACATAAATTATATATTCTTCTAAGCAGTAAAAACAATGTTTTAAAAGGTCCCAAGGTCCCAACAAAATAGGTCCCAAGACCGATTCTTGTGGGACTCTATGCTTTACAGATAGGTGACCTCTATCCGTAAAAATCGGAGAGATTATCTTTAGACACTACCGCCTGGTGTCTACCACATAGAAAAGAAGTTATAAGCTCAAGAGAGATACCTCTGATTCCAAAGTAATTTAATTTGTGGAGCAAAATGTCGTGTAAAACTCTGTCAAAAGCCTTCTGAATATATATTGTGAGTTGCTAAGACTCAAAATAGGAATAAAATTGTTGTTTGATAACTTTTTCAATCACTTTCCCAAAAGTAGAAACAATGCGTATGGTTCTGTAATTGTCAGTATTTCAGGAATTACCTTTTTTGTAGATAGGTGGTACTTTTGAGTATTTTAGTAGTTCTGGCAATACTACAGTTGATAGAGCTAAATTAATAGGATGAGTGAAAGGTGTTAAAACTATTTGGTAAGTTTCTTTTAAAATTTTGCTATTGATTTCTGGAACGTCCCTACAATTAGAATTACTAACAGACTTTATTATTTGAGAGACCTCTTCTTCCACAACGGGATGAAAAAAAGACTTGCTCGGAGAATAGCCTGGAAACGGCTAATTATCTCGTAAATTACTAGACATAATTATACAAAATTTGAGATACGCCTATTTTGGGATACGGAAATTCCATATTTGGTATTTGCAATGTTGCCAGATTTTCAGTTTCTCTTATATTACTAGTAACTTTGGTTTTTCAAATGCATCACCCTGTATATTTAGTCATTATTGGAATCTCCTATTAAATACGAGTTCAACCATATGTAACACTTATGATTTGATGTAGTCTGGAAGGTCTTAAATACATAAAACAGAAGTCTGGCAACGCCTAAATTGTTTCAATACTTTTTTAATACTATTTTCAATTGTAACAATTGATAGTGTAGAATATTTTTTAACATAATAGTTACGTTATTAAGAGTTCAAAATGTGCTCCATTTGTGAGTTGACAGAACTCTAATCGATGGTAGAATGCGTCTACCACATTTCTCCATGATTGTCTAGAAATTATTCGAGATTCATCGATAATTCATTGCCTTAGCTATGCAAGACTTGCTGGTTAAGTTTTGTAAACTGAATTTTTTAAGTATCTCTAATAAAAATAATCTTTAGGATTGATATCGGGTGAACGTGGAGGCCATTCAATTCTACCTTGTCTACCAATTTATCGTCCGGGAAATATCTCATATAAATAACGCCGAACATTTACACCAACTATCTGACGTTAAATTTCTTTCGATAAAAAATGACCCAATTAAATAAGTACCTACTATAACTGACCATACATTTAATTTTTGTGGTCTTTGAGTATGGTTTTCACGCATTCAGTGTGAATTTCACACGAGTTCAGCTATTCAATACGAGTTCAACTATATGTTCACTTATTTGATGTAGTCTGAAAGATCTTAAATACATAAAACAGAGCAAAATATGTAGATTTTAATAAATTTGCTGTGATTTTGACATTTGTTCACCATTTCAATTATGAACTAAAACTGACAGTAGTTGTGGTTCAAAAAGTTCTGCAATTTAAATTGCTTCTCTAAAATGCCGTTCTCTAAACCGTTCTCCTATTCATAAGACGACGACGGTACAAAAAACTGTAAGGCGATTTGAGAAATCTGGAGAAGTAAAAGATAGATACCGATCAGGTTGACCGAAACGAGTTATCAATGACAACAAAACTTCAGATATAAGCAAAGTTTTGTTGAAGATCCACATACATCCCCAGGCAGGGTTGCACAAGTACATGATGTAGGTCATTCTTCAGTCTTACGTTTATTACGTAAAAATAAATTTAAATCATACAAAATTAACTTATTGCTTACTAAGAATTTAAACTACTGAGGTAATGATGAATAAAATTGAAAATTATTAAAATTTCGTTAACAGAATATGTTTTTCCGATGAAGCAACTTTTACACTGTGTGGAAGTGTAAATCGACACAATTTAAGGTACTGGTGTGACGTAAATTCACACTGAAGACTGAATGCGTGAAAACCATACTCAAAGACCACAAAAATTAAATGTATGGTCAGATATAGTAGTTACTTATTCAATTGGGTCATTTTTTGTCGAAAGAAATTTAACGTCAGATAGTTGGTGTAAATGTTCGGCGATATTTAGATGAGATATTTCCTGGACGATAAATTGGTAGACAAGGTAGAATTGAATGGCCTCCACGTTCACCCGATTTCAATCCCAAAGTATGTATGTATAATGAGAACGAAACCTGGAAACTTTACAATGAATCAGTTATTGAAACATCATTGAATTCCGAATGTGTATCCAAATATAATAGATAGGAGTAAATAGGGCTTAATTGGTTTATGTCACTCCTTTGTTCATTGCGTTAGAATTTTGAGCGATGAATGTCAGTTCTAAGAAGTCTTTTTTTTATAATTGGACTCTGTAGCTGAAACTTTGACTGATTCGTAATTCATTATATGAAAACTCTATTGACATGTTCTGCTAGGGACAATTCAGGGATCACCATATCCAGTAAATGATCCATCACATAACAGGCCAAAATAGGAGAGATAGTACCTCCTAACAGAAAGGAGATAAGTTTTTTGAAGTATTCTAAGCTGATATTGCAAGGAGAACTGATAAAATTCCAGTTGTTCTCAATAGCTGTTAAAGCTGCATCTAGATGTACATTAAGTCTCATTTATTCAATAATAAAAGTAAAATCTAATGGCATGTGATAATAATTGTGATTTATTCTAAGAGAAATATTTGATTAAAAAAGTTTAAAAGAATTTTTGGGATCAAGGTCTAATTGGATTAAAACAAATTTTCAGAATTTAGTCTATTACACGTCGATCTCCACGACTGATTATTTACTGGGACTAATGGTCTGCTATAAATTAGCTTATGTTACTCTTGGGACGTCGGCAAGTAAAAATGGGTTATTAGCAAATATATAAACGTATTTGTAGCGATTCCATTAATAAACACCACACCTTTGGCATTCTTCAAAACATTCCGCAATAAATACATACTCAAACCAATTGTTAACTGTTAACCGTTGAACTTCTAATGTATAGGAAAGTTTACTTTAATTTATGACTTTGGAGAACAAGAATTATTGAAACAGTCATTTATAGTAATATTTTTGGCAATTTGTTTTTACATGTTAATTTTATTATTATCGTGCAGCTTCTATCAAGTCCAACGTTAATTATTTTATATTGCTCTTTTTTATATGGTTCTGCATACCAAATTCCTCCATAGAATGTTGTAGGATTAGCTTAACAATACTAAAAAAGGAGTAGATACCAACATTAGTACTAATACGTTAGATATCATTAGTATTAAAAAACAGTTATCCATATAGGAAGATCAAGGAATTACTACTGCTTCGTAAACTACTTGGTTTAGGAGTTTTAGTGTTTGACGTAAATATTTAACCACTACAAATCGACTACACTTTGGCATGTTACCCAATATTTACAATAAAGTGATGATGATAAAATGGTTTTATTTAAAAATACTTTATAATTAAAAAGACTCTTGCTACATCACAGAACGTTTTCGGACTAAAAAGTTCATCATCAGTATATTACCTGAAATAAGTATTACCATTTTAGTGAATGCAAACGTAAAGGTTCA